TGCTTCAAAGAACAGGGTGAGCTTAACACTGAAGCTGGTGCAAAGGTAACACACGTTACCCTCTTAACACTATACAAGGATGGCACTTGCAGAAACACACAGATTAAAAGGTTTGCATATAAGGCTTTTAAAACCACCTTACAAAGGCTTTCTTTATTTCTCATCTTACTTTTTCCTTCATGTCCAGGTCACTTTAAGACTTCGGTATCTTAAATTCACACATGCATCACTTCAAGTTCCTTCACAGAAAAATAAAATAAAAATTGAGGCCTAAAATTGTGTGGTTACTTAGGCTGAAAACTGGGAAACGTATGAATAGCAAAGGAAAGTACAGAGGAGTCATAATACTGATGTACTGTAGTGCGAGCACATTAAATTAAAAAGGAATAATAATAATAATAATACTGATGTATGGTAGTGCGGGCACCTTTTTTAAAATGTATTAATATAAATTAGACATATCTTTTTTTTTTTTTTAAGTTTGTAGTGATATATAAGTTGAGTGCAATTCGTACAATTTACTAGTTTGTGCTTAAAGTATAAATGCTATTAAACACAGGATTTAGTCTCTGAACCACACAGTTTTTAGGCCTTAACACTGTACAAAAATTTTGCATAATGCAGTTCTTAACAATACCCAGCTCAAACTCCATCTAATTCTGTCTTGGCTGAACTGCCCCTTTAGTCCATCTCTACAGGCTTCCTGGAAGCATCAGGCACGTGCATGAACAGCTTAACACAGCAGTGTTTTTCAAGCAGGTAACAATACTACTGGAAAAAAAATAGGAAGCTTAAAATGCAGTAGTTTATTACATGCCATCTTCCATATTGTCTTCTTCGTGATCTGATTTGGTTTCCATTTTCCCATCTTCCGAACTATCGTCCATTGAGTGATCACCAGTCTCCTCTTCATCTCTTATCGTGTCTGGATCTGTATCCATACTTTTATTTTCGCTCTCCTCCTCCTCTTCCTCAAACTCCTCATCCCCATCCTGCCTTCCCAGCTTCTCATACCCATCTTCTCCTTCCTTCTCGTGCTCCTTTTCGCTCTCGCCGTCTCTCGGCATGCTTTCTCTCTCCTCTGAGTCAGAGTACCCCTGCGGAGTGATGCTCTGTAAATAGGCCCGGTTCATCAGTAGCTCGGTGGGCTCCAAGTGACCCTTTTCACGGGCTTCCCGCTCAGCCGCTTCCCTCTCCTCCGCTTCTCTCTTACAGTAGGAATACCTGTGATTCATGTGCTGCGAGTAAGACCCCGAGTGCGAGAAGCGCTTGCCGCACTTGTCGCACTGGTAGGGCTTCTCCCCGGAGTGCAGGCGCGAGTGCTCGATCAGGTGATGCTTGTGTTTAAAAGCTTTCTTGCAAATCTGACACTGGTGTGGTCTTTTTCCTGCGAGGAAGGACAAGAGGACACATGGGTTACGGCGGTAGGGATGGTGGCTTCTCTGCCCCTTGCTCCCCCTCCACTCTTTAAGGTGCTGGAGCAACACGATGCCTGAACTGCCCCGCTTCCTTCTTTTCAAAGGAAGCTCAGTTGCAGAAACAAAAAAAAAAAAAAAACCCAAACCCCACATTTATGTTACAACTTAGACTTTGGATGCTTTTGATTGTAGTAATTTTACTCAAGCAGCTCGGGATAATATAAAGAAAATGACTCAGAGAGCATCAATGGAAAACTGGCAGCTCTAGCGAGCAGCTGACACCCATGAAAATGTTCAAAAAATATCCCTATTTATAAATAATTCTGCTGACAGCATCATATACACGCCGTAGTTCTTCCCCCAACCCCCCTCTCGCTGAAGAGATTAGCCCGTAGAGAAGACCTTTGTTTCTTAAAGTTTTCTTTGTGTACGCTGCTCGTGAATAGCAGGAAGCCGACATCCTATCTTTGTGCCTTCGCCCGTGGTGCCACGCAACCGCAAGCCAACCGCTGGCCAACCCTTCCCCCCCTACGGCACCCCAAGGCGAGCCCATCGGGGTTTACCTTGGGATGCACCCGACACATCCTACGGCTCTAGGGACAGCAAGAGGGAGCTGGGACTCGTTGAGTCCCTAAGGGGTTCGCTGTTGGTGGGAGGACCCAGGGTGGACCCACACCAACCCATCGCAGGGGTCCTCTCCTCCAGCCCTCACTTCGGGGAGGAAGCCCTCAAGGACCGAAAGACGTTTTTTTTCCCCCACCACGTGAGCAAATACAAATATATACATCTGCCACGGAAGCATAAGGGGTTTCTAAATAAAATGTTGTCAGCCACTCGCTGAGTGCTAAAGTAGTGTTAAGCTGCAGAAAACAGTATTTCCTTTGGCATTTCAGGCAGTTTCGAACCAATGTTTGAAACTCAAAACCAGTGCCAAGCCTAAACACATCTGGTTGATCCCAGGCCAAAAATAGCACAGGAATCCCTTCAACACCTTCCAGAACTGCCATACTGAAAGCTTAATTCCAAAATAGAGCTGACAAAAAATACTTGTCAGCATGATGCCACACGACAAAACTCAGCAAAGCATGATGCAACCGTGAGATATCCAGACATAACATATGGTGCAAAGATTGGAATTAGTGAAGACCGATCACCAAACTTAGATTGCAGAAGGCAAAAAATAAAATCAAACATTAGTACCTTCAGCCAGATTTCTTTTTTTTTTTCATTTTCAAAATGTCAAATTATAATCTTGGTGTCATTCAACTGAATGCTCCAGAGTGGTGCAACCATGCAGGAGGATGCAATGCCAACCGGTCATTATTTTATACTTCGTGCTATTTTTATGCACGTAAAAATGCTGGTATTGGGTGCCTGAAATGCGGAGCCCTGTTTTGCATGTCTTATTGCTCGAGCAGATCGTTAGGAACTTATTAGCGAACTGCCCTGATTCCTCAGGCGTATTTATCATACTTTGGCAATGTGGCATGTGACCAGACCAGGAATAAACTTTGCACCAGAGCCCTCCCATCCTGTCTGTTGTAAAAGTGTGGTATTTCGTTAATACTTAAAGAAGCAAGCACAGGGAGAGGAAGAGTACGGTGGAGGGTAGGCAAGAAAACTCCAGCCAAGAACGAAGGGCTGAGAAGATGGGAGAC